CGTGGCCATGTGAGAGCATTTCGAGAGGGAGAGCGGACTCTCCCCACTCTCGGCCGTACCAGGGCAAGTAAGTGCGATTTCCACATCGGTTTATTAGACTAATCTGATAAATATTTACTCGAATTAAATTCGTATTACGAAGAAACGGAAAATTTACTTCATCATTTAAATGATATTTCAGTAATATCTAGGCAGAGGACAACAACTGACATGACAAAATAATCAGTTGATGATACATGCTACTTATATTTGTTGACATTAGTAGCACATACCACACTAGTCTCCCTTTTAAAGCAGTCATTCTTGTGGTGATTCTGCTCACCGTGCTACTTATCTCGTTTCCTACAGTCTGTGGCACGCTCTCCGTCAAAATGTCAAATCTGCAGCGTACACCCAGCAGCCTGATGTCCCACCGTTCCTTTCGGTCGACAGCCAACGCCGACCAGCCGGAACACTCCACTCGACGCCATCTCACGGCACCAGATCACCACAACTAGCGCCTCAGCTCCAGGTTCGCAACGGCGTCCAAAGAACAGCACTTTTCCCCCTTCCTAGTTGGTAGCAGCACCAAATGTGAATTTTCTAAAAATGGAATAAATCCATTTAGAAGGCAGATATAACATTCACATAAGAATGTTATTTATACATCAATAGCCTGAATTATTGTACAAACACACATCAATCTTCATTCTTAAAAAAAAGCTATATAGAACCGTTTTTCGTAAGTCTTATTAAATTATATTTCTATTGTACATTATCCTCTTCATGTAAACTTTAGTTTTCACTGTCAAAATTAAAATGAAAAAATATTTTCTAAGATATTGTTTCAGAAGATGCTTTTTACAAGTCTTATTTTAATTTATGACTACAGATTTTCCATCAAAACATTTTAGCAGAAATCTAGTTTTTGTATATCGGAAGCTCCCTGTAAACGTTTTCCGTACTACATACATATATATACGTTTGAGCATAAATTCTTCACTCACTCTCTGTGTACAAAGTTAATATAATTTAATAATCTATTTTTCAAAACGTCTTCTTTAACTATTTCAATCTACGATATAATTATATCTACAAATGAATATTTAGTTAGCAATTTATTCACAGTTCCCATTAGTTTTCTTAAAATAGCTAAACAAGAGAAACATAGTTGTTATTAAATTTTTAAAGTTATGTATCCATACTCATGTTTCGAAAAATTGATCACTTAATTGTTTGGATCATTTGTTCTTCATGTTATTCATATTCGTACACATACAGTGTTATGCTACCAATGATTTGTAGTTATAAGGTAAATAATTAATTTTCACAGTTGAATTCATGTGCTGATCGAAGCTAGACCACTATTGAAAACCTGGAAGCACTGGACGGATGTTTTGTCCTGGCATAGAACCTCTCAGTAGTGCACATCCACGATCTCACATACGGGATTAAAACCTGGGACCTTTGGTCGCCCAGCATGTGAGTACTTAAACTCTAGATCACTGAGCGGTCATCCAAATGTGTTAATGTTTAACTTCAATCGATTCATGATATTTATGGATTTCCTGGAGTTCTAGTGAGAAGCCATGATTAGTGGAGTCAAATTCGTATCGGGTGTCAAACAGTTATCTACCTCACACAATGGATGAAGACTTGTGCGAGATCATGAATTGATTGAAGTTCGACACTAACATAGTTGGATGACCGCTCAATGATCTAGAGGTTAGATGTTCGCGGGCGAGACCAAAGGTCGCAGGTTTAAGTCCCATGTCCCACACTAGGACGGAACGGTTGTCCAGTGCTTCCAGAAACTTGAAACTTCCCTGTAGCTTTTAACCTGTCCGATTATAATTTCATCTTCTAGCTTATTATTGTTCATTTTAGTCATTTTTCAAAAATGAACAATAAAAGCCTTCATTATTACGGATGCCAGATATTAGTAACACCAGGAAACTGGTAAAAAATAAGTGAATTACACTATGATACACACTATGGTATAAGTTGAATATGTCAATCTTTGATATCATGTATACATTTTTTAAGGCTTCATATATAATTACCGTATCATGTTAATACGAATGAAAAAATTACTCTGGAATTCATTCTTGCAATGGTTGTTCAGGATTTACCAATGTTTGATGGAACAAAAAATGATGTACATTTATTTTACATTTTTCGTAGGATTGAAAGTCTGAATGCTTTTCCCATGCCCTAATTAGAGACGTTTATGAAAAGTGTAAGTTTATGCCTGAAAACAAATTAATTCGTTGTTTATAGGCCAGAAAAATACATATCCAAATTAGTTAGGAATAGAAAACACCAATTTGTTGATTTACACACTAAATATTGAAGAAAAAAAACGATCAGTCACAAAGTACTATACATTGGATATTATATAGTACAGTAAACATACCTTACTATTACAAATGGAAAGATTTCAAAATAGAATTGACAGATCGATAAACTGATTTCAATTAAATAGTACTTAGTAATTGATCATTTAAAAATTTCGATTCCTCAACTTAATAAAGACAGGAAATTGGAAAATATGAACCTTAAAATTTAAACTGAGAGTATCTCTATGTGAACTGAATATCCTAATCTTGAGTATGGCTAGGAATGTAGACTAGTGAGAACACACGGAAAAAATTAACAATCCATTCCTCCTTAGTTGCTAAGAATTCTTCAATCAATATCAGTTCATGAAAAATAATCTTAAGGTCACAGATACGATTGAGGTTTCTAATTTGAAAAGTTGTGGAATTTATCTTTCGGAATGACTATAGAAAGTAGTTGACATGATTAGCAGTCAATGATGGGGACCTAGAATAATTCATAGATATTCAAATATAGGATTTCGTTAGGACTATCACAGTCCAATTTCACGTTCGAACTGATTTTCAAAGACATTTCATTGTTCTGTCTTATTCTGTCATACGCGCCACAACTAGACTGGCCAAATGAGGATATTCGTTCGATAAAATGTCAACCAACGTAATTTGATTGTATTGTTATTATGTATATGTTAGGGACGATAGATCCCCAAACTCATATTTTAAATTTTATCTTATCGATCAAATGTTAGATATTTTTATTGGGGTCAATTGATGAACTATCGATTAAATGCGCAAATAGGTCAATTAATGAACTCATTGATTAATGTTTAAAAATTTTCTATCGATTGTAAATAATTGTATAAATACGCTTGACTTGTATGCTTGATCGGATCTGCCTGCCTGACTTGTGATCTGCTGTTTGTCTGTAGAATACACTTTCTACACCTTACCCAGACTTCTTGATCGAGTTAGCAGAGTTGGGGACAACGGACCAGAATAGACTATCGAGTCGCTGAATTATTGATCCTTCGTTCCGTTTCGAGTAAGACGCATCAGTAATCGCATTCAAGCAATAACGAAACATAACAATTGGCGACGGGGTAAAAAAAAAAGAACAATCCAAAGTCAGCTTTCAGCATCCAGATTTGTCATCAGTGTCCTTCAGCAACATTGGTCATTAATCAAACAGTAATTTGCATTACCGGTGCTGGATAAAAAAAATGACTCTCCCTTCCGATCGAGTACAGCTGCTATTTGAAAGACAGTTGGAGTTTTTAGTCAAATTACGCACGCAGCTGTTAAATCACTCATGCTTTGGAGATGCAACGGAAGTGGATGGATTGATCTCTCAACTGCACACAGAGCTGGAAAATGATTGCAGCCCCAATGAATCCCCGATAAACCGTATTTCAAACGGTACAACAGTCACTCAAGATTCGCCCAGTGGTCCAGTCCTCTCCATTCCAGAAACATCCCCGGTAATGGACTCAAACTCCATTATCCCCAAAACAGCATGTGCAGACGGTGACTTATCCAGCTCACAAACACACTCCCTGGTAAATGCTCATAGAATTGTCGCAATAACCACCCATGAAACAGAAAACAAATCGAGCAGTACACTGAATACAACTGCTTCAAATGGTTCTCATCAGTCTGCGACAGATGTTTTTGACAAATCTTATTATCAAGATTCTCTTTTACCAGAAAATATGTCAGATGCATCAAATGATGATCAAAAACTTAATACAATTTTGATAGATGCTAATTACCTTGATGATCCATTATCTACAAATAAGATTCCAAATAAATTTGGTCACAATATTTCAGAAGAATTAAACTTCGAACACCTCATATCAAGTGTCGTTCAGCCTCAAGACTTAGTCACTTTCAGTCAATTCTCTGTTCAGTGCGATAAATATGTCTTAAATAAATTCAAGTTAATTATAACGTGGGCACATGAGGATCCAACACTGTTTCGTGGGGGAGGATGGACCTGGAAAACTTAAAATCCGGATATCAACTCCGGATCTTCTAAAAAGGGGAGGAGTGTTGGGGACGATAGATCCCCAAACTCATATTTTAAATTTTATCTTATCGATCAAATGTTAGATATTTTTATTGGGGTCAATTGATGAACTATCGATTAAATGCGCAAATAGGTCAATTAATGAACTCATTGATTAATGTTTAAAAATTTTCTATCGATTGTAAATAATTGTATAAATACGCTTGACTTGTATGCTTGATCGGATCTGCCTGCCTGACTTGTGATCTGCTGTTTGTCTGTAGAATACACTTTCTACACCTTACCCAGACTTCTTGATCGAGTTAGCAGAGTTGGGGACAACGGACCAGAATAGACTATCGAGATTCTGAATCCTTGATTCGATCGATAAGTCACTGTCTTATAATCGGCTGTCACTTTGAGACATAACAGTATATTCTTGTCGTATATTTATTACGCAATTAGGCTACGATATTTATATATTGCGTTTTTTTAAGCTTCTCTTTACACCATTAACCATTATTTTATTGTTTATAAATCCTATTATGTTGCCAATCGATTATTCACAGCTTGCCCAAATTACTTCGAGTCACTTATGCATAATTGTTATTTTTCATTTTGTGGTGCGATGCAGTCCAGTATTTTCGTACATAAGCCCATGTATGTTTAAAATGTAGTAATGACAGGAGCTGACGACCGAAGTTTTAGACTGAAGACGTAACAAAAAGAAAAAACAACAGGGGCTTAGTTAAGCTAGCTCAAGGTCAACAGTGCCGATAAGGAGTATAATCCACAAAATCTGGGACACTAAACTATGGAAGAAATAGTAGACGAGGAATTTATAAAATCAGAATTCTGATTGGTGACTTCAGAACGCGATATCAGTTAACATCTCAAGAAACAACAATGCTTTTGAGTTTGATGATGTATTCTAAAGTAGCGCTTAGGACATAGAGAAATATAGACTACCAAAGTAAACGAAACTTTACCCAAACTACTATTTTGTTGTCACACTACAGAATTTAAGTTTATTAAGATGATATACATAATATATATGGTTTAAAATGACAGAAATGAAATGAAATTATCTTTGAAATAAACAGATGTTCTTCTTTAGTCTATGAATAGATATGTTACGTATGTCATGATATGTTACTGAACTTGTTTTACTGGACTGCGTATCTTGGCGTGAAAATGTTCTGATTCTATAGTTTCTAAGAAAAAGAGATTTTGTGAAAACAATAAAGGCACAAATGAAATCAAGGATTTCTGCAAGTGATAATCGGTATTTTATGCAATCCTCTTTTACACAATTCCTGTATATGAGTTTTGAATTGTTCTACACATTGTTCACAAACAGCTGTTATTAATGGAGTATTAGAAATTGGTGGTATTACTGCAGTGGTTGTAGTAGTTGTTGTATTGGATAAATTTGTATCTGCTTCTCTTTGTGTGGTATCATTATTATCATTATCCCCACCTGTACGCATTTCCATATTTCTAGCAACTGAAAATGGCATTATGCTTGCAGCCACGTCATTATGCACAGTATCATTGGCATTATTATTCTGTAAATGCTGGTCTGCACTATTATTTGTTGACGGTCCTGTTGCATTGTTTACAACGGGACTAAAAGTGATTGTTGAAAACGGACGGCAATGTAATGAACAATGATTGGAAGGAACACGTTCAGCACGACTTTCCATACGTGAACACGAATGAGTAAAACTCTGTTGAATATCTACAAGACATTTTTCCAAAACTTTTATCCTTCTTCTAAAAAAAAACAAATTTATTCACCGATTAATACATAGGCTTTGATTCGATCAAAAACAAAACAGAAACAAATAAAACGAAGCTATAGGAACAGTTTTTAACGAGACTTTTGATAAAATAAACGATTCTATTATGAACTGTTTAAGCGAAAAACCTGATAGGGAACTACTACTTAGAGTTCTGCTTCTCATTCATATGAAGTCAGTCACATGGAGATGAACACGATATCATTTCCAACGTATGACCCCCATCTGATGACTTCGGTGATAGCTGTTTTACACCTGCCATAGTTGACTATGACCTTGAAAAACTCGTCTAGACGCTTGCCTCCACCTTTAAGAATGTATCTGAAAGTATTCAGTCAGTATCTTATAGCTCAAAATGGGTGTGCATTGGCTAAAGTTGTCACACTATATTACCACAATAAGATCTAATTAACAAGATGAATTGTAAAAAAATTAAAATAGTATAGTAATGATGAGAAAAATCAAGCGTTGAGAATGTGGTTTGAAAAAAATATAAAGAAAAGGCAAGTATAAAAGGGTACTGAAGATGTAGATCAAGAGTAAGATAAACAGTAAATAAATCTGAGTTATCGCGTGAACTTCAACCAAGTAGTAGTAAGCTTAGATTAACAATCAGTGACTTCACACACACACACGTCCCTATCTTTTTTTCGACCTACTTTTGCACTAGCAAACATGGGTATTGGAGGTAGACAATGATGAACCATACGTAGTACATATCCCGACTACCTTAACAACTTTTTGTTATCTTCACCTGATAACCAACGCTTAACCTCAACAATGCTTACTCGATTGTCCGATGATACTCTAACAATGCTCAGAAGAAATCTATAATTAAAAACTTGCGGCCTACTCAAAATTTCCTCTTTTAAGGACGATGTTTCATAGCCATAGAGTAATACAGCTTGAACTACTGTGTAGTATACTCGTTCTTCGGTTAGCACATGGACATTTTTCTTAAGCCACGAGTGAAACAAGATAGAAACGACCAAAAGAGATGTTTAACTCGACTTGAATAGAGCCAATTCTGAAATTAGTATTAATTTATGATGAAACTCGTCTTAAAGTTGAACAAACCTACATGAAGCACTCATCTGAAGAATGAAAAGGACACATTTTTTATCATACATAAATTTGCATAGGAAACGAAATTATCTGCAGTAATCATATTTTAAACACTATTAAAAATACCATACCTAAACGAAAATCGTCAATTGAATAATTGGTGAATATCAATGTCAAATACTACCGAGCATTGTTTATTTTTTAAATAATTTGAAACATCTAGTCAGTACACGATAGTAAAATTAATAAGCTCAATAATAGTCGAATACTATAATTAAAGCTTAAATGCAAAAACAATATCAACTAGGCAAGAGACTAATATTGAGATTTTTAAGGAAGTTAATGATTAAACAGAAAACTAACGAGTCAATATTTTACAAACTGATGTTTAATTACTAAGGTCTAATAATTTGGTTAAGTGTTCATAGATTTATTTTGCTAGGGTTTTAATTGGTTACAACTATTGATTGATCACTGGGTGGTGATCAATGTCATGCTTGTCTAGTCCTTATTAGTGCAGATCGAATGCTATCGATCATGTTGCAATGTGGCCACCAGTCTAGGTGACTCGACACTGCGGGCACTATGTATTGAGATTTAGATGGTGGTAACGTCTCTGACTGTGAAGCTGGGTGACACGAGATCGAATCCGCCAGGGAGCACCAGTTCCCTCAAGATTACAGGTACACCTTGCTGACGAGTGCCAAGTAGCACGAAACCCGGGTCCAGGGTTTCCTGTTCACTACCTCCAACCACCATCTAATTTTCAATTGGTTGAATACTCAGACTATACTATAATTAATAATATACAATGGAAGTCGATGAGATCAATCTTTAATGAACCGTCTATAATCTCTTTTTTTCTTTCTTTGCAAACAACTTTTTTTTATATACGATCAATCATTATAATAAAATTGGTTGCATTTTATTTGATGAACTCATCTTATTCTATATTGTGAAGGAAGATAATTTTTCATTCTATTAATTCGCTATATAATAAATAGCATAGATAGTGTTCAAAGTAGTAATTAGACAAACTATGATTAGAAGCGATCAATCATTTCAATGTTGACTTTCACAAAATGATTAGTTTTATATATTTTTATTGTTAACATTAACAAATATCATCTTCATGTTGGACATAAAGCATTTTAAACACGATAAAGATAAACAGATAAACGTAGCAGAAAACTTTCTATTGAATACTACTAACTATTGATTGATGTATTATATGCATTTGTGACAAGTATAGATGATCGACTATATCTTTATCGTTAAGATTTAAAATTTATTATAGGAAGAAAAATTTTGATATAACGGATGGTTTCTATTATTTTTTTCCCTTTCTCTGTGGTATACAACGATAAAAAATTAGTACGATTATAAGACTAGTCACGTTATATCAGATTCAGAATTTATGACCCAGAATAGAAAATCGAATTAGCAGTAGCTAATGCTTTATTCAAAACAGCTACAAGCAGTCACACTCAATGAGTCCGGAGTAGAAATCAGTGAGAAGAAAGGAAATCACATATTTATTAGTCGAAAGTCTAAATGTATGTTTGTCCACGTTTAATGACCAATCATATTTTACTCTCACTACTACATACCAAATTTATAATCTTCCATATGTACGAGAATACTTTTCGCCGATCATGATTGTATTTTATTGCTATAAAATCATTATTTATGTAATTTAGTAATCGAGCAAACTTTTACATTCATAGCTGTGTTATGCATTTAGTAGGAGGGTTAAAGTGAACAATGGAGTTTGGAACTAGCAGATCAACAGACACCACTTCCCATTCGATTATTATAATTAACATAAGATGAGATGCGATGAACACAATTTTCACAATCATTGATCAACTAAATAATTGAAATTTTCTACTAAATGCATTACAAGTAGATAAGAATTCCATTTTATTATAGATGTGATATTATGTTTAAGCAATAGTATCACAACAAATTATGAATAATTCAAACTACTTATCACAACACATTGATCCATTTAAACAATTCAGCATGATCACTTAAACGACTTTCTTTACAAAATAATCCGATTATACTAACAAAGGTTTAAGCAGATTTCTATTTCGTTAGGTTTCCTTAATATGCTCCTAAAATCAGATAGTTGTTAGAGCGATGACTATAATTCACTAGAAACCTGATATGTGCGTTAAAAAGAAACAGTTGTTAACCTTTCTCTATCCTGATAACATAAACTCTGTATCGCTGCATCAGTTTTTCGACTCTACTCAAATTCGTAGATCTATCTATATCTCTTTGGGAAACCGGGTAGCATCACTGGCCCTCATGACCAGTGTCGCTTAAAGCCAAGTACGCAAATTCATGTGGTTGGTAATGCAGTGGTAATAATGCTAGGCAGGCCTAAAATCAGTTATGACGAGTGCACTAGGTTTCATCAAAAAAATTGGAAATAATATCATATTGATCAACGTCGTAGAGATCAATCTATAAGTGACCTACAATTAGTTCTAAAAAGTGGAGTAATTAGATCACTACAGAATAAAATAATTTCTTTTTTCTATCTGGAATAGAAGAATGGTAGCATTATATAAGACGGCAAAACTTGGTAACGACTTCTAAGAATCATGAGAAATTGAGTAAAGTATTTAACTGGAAGTCATTCAGTTTAACATCTTGAGATATCGTGAAAAAATTGTAGAATATATAAACACACCAGTTTAAAGGACAGTAACTCACTCAAGTACTTCATTTTTAAGTTCCATTGACAGATTTATTTCTTCAAATGCTTTAACCATTCGACCATAATCTAAACGAGCACAAGAATCCAAAGCTGCTTGTCGTAATCTACTTAGACCATATAAATCAGCTATTCGAAGAAACAATGGTGCAGTTACATCATTGAGACGAAATGTAAGTGTCCTCTCAGCCAAGCTAACCATAGAATCGATTTGGTATCGATGTAAAATAGGTAGCAACTTTTCAGCTGTTTCAGCTTGAATATGAAATAAGACAGAAAAACGTAACTACTGAGGAATTATTCTTTTCGTTTTCAGAATGATAATACATCACAGTTTTTGGATTGGTAACAGATAACAACAAGACAACAAAACAGGTAATTCGAGACTACCATCTATACGAATAATTAGTACTAACAATTTTGCAATCATTTTTTAGGTAATTTACAATCTACTTAAAACACAACTAAGTAGATTTTATAAATCAGTAAAAACATTTCACTGGTAGTTCCACGCTTTAACATTGATATATATATATATATATATATATATATATATATATATATATATATATATATATATATATATATATAGTTTCAAACAAAAACACATTCCAGATAAGAAAAATAATAAAATAAGGGTATGCTGAGTGAACATAGTTATACATATAATCTTAAGCATATGCATGCTACATAGCTTCTGATATTACAGATGGATAAAGATGCAAATCCTAGAAAAGCTAAGATACACGACAATAAAAAATAAGATCAAATAATGGTTATTATCAAGACAAATACAAGACTAAACCATTTGTTCAGCCACGAAACGGTCATCGAAGGCAAGAGGAGCAAATAATTGTAGTATAAATTAGAAAATAATAATCCTCATGGTTACAGGTAACTAACTGTTGGGTTTGTCTTACATTGTTCCTAATTGTTCCCTTTCTACTCTTTTGTATATTGTCTTATACTACTTATTTACATTCAGTAAGCAGTTGTATTCCCAATAATTTTCACACTTATGTTGTAACGCAAGTTGTACTGTAATATTCTGAAATGTTCACATATACTTATAACGTTTATAGTACTTATCATTGTATTTATCATTATAATTACTGTATCTTAATCACTGTAGCCGTTATTCACAGTTTTGTGCATTTGTTTAAACGCAAGTTTCCATATTGTTTGCTCTTGGTTCGGGTTTCGGTTGTTCGTAAACTGTTATCAAATTTAGACACAGCTATCAGCTGTCCTTTGTACTATCGTATGTTATAATTATTCTTTATGTTACTGTTACAGGAAGCCTTTTCATTTTCATACTTGAAGGACGCGTTTAAATGCCGCAGACATCTCACAAATTGAGGTTTGTAACTAAATTTTGTTTATTATTCAATAAAGAACCACTATTGTAGACAAATCGTTGTTTTGGAAACTTCGGTTTTGTATGTATCTCAATCAAGTGACTTGGACGCTTCGATAGATCTAACACTAACTAAAAGAGCCAAACATGGAAATTCGCAGAATAACCAATGATGCCAAAGTGATGTATCTGTCTAGAATTTGTAAGAAATTCACACACATGTTATAAGTAGCCACTACAAACGACATTTATGGACAACCATGGCTAAATACTCAAATGTATTGTTTTCATGCAACAGTAATTTATCAGCAACACACAAATCTATTTGTACTCGATACATAAACAGTCTAAGAACCTCCATGTAGAATTCAGCACCACTGTTTGCCCCCTAGTGAGAAAAACCTAATGGGGAATACCACGAATGTTAGAAAAATTAAGTCCACGTATTTATTGGACAGAGTATGTGTATCACAAATGTAATCAATAAAATGAGACGTCAAACTAAAATGAAATTTCATACGTGTCATATCACAACCACCAGGTGTGTACATGTGACGCAACATTTCCCTTATGTCATCAAACTCATCAACTGGAATAACAACTTCATTTTTTTGATTTTCCTAAAAAAATAAACAAAGCACAACTAATGAGAAGTAAAAACAATAATATAAACAACAAATATTAGGTCTTTAAAAGCATTTAAAGGAAAAATAGCCCAAAAATTAACTGAATACAAAACTCAAAGTTAAAGCTTTCTCTTAATATTACCCATGAGGTTAGAAATGATATGCAAATATACTAATCAAGGTCATCCTATTTTGTGTAATCGAGGAGGCAAGAAGTAATATTTATTTATTTATCACCGAAGTCGGTGTTTCGAAACTGTGACAATAAATGAATTAAGTCAATGTGCTAGGACACACGATGCTGAACCTCTGTAGTACTGTCATGATGTTGCCACAGGATAACAGAAACCCTTCGGGGACGACGTTGGTAAAACACATAGGGTTGCTTAATAACCTCAACTCAGGGAGGCCAGGTTTCACAAGCATAGACCAAGGCTACTCTTACCGATCCATTATAGACCTTTAAGAGCTAGACCAGCATCACGAAGGTGCAAAAGATAGCCCATATTGACATAAGCCGCTCCTGTCTTTGTTATACGTGGATTAATCTCATCATCAGCAGCACTTACGCACCTATCCAGATACACGAACTTCTCGAAGGATTCTATCCACTCACTTCCAAGAGTGAGTGTAGGTTCAGGATCCTGCCAGTCTTCCAAAAGTACTTTACACTTGGATGCAAGGCAAATTCTACACTGCAAAGTCGTGCAAGGATGACAAGCGCATCCCAAGTGAGGACCGGAGTCATACAAGACTGTTTACTCTCCCCCTTCCTTTTTCTTCTGATGGTTGGTTGGGTTATGAAGACCGCCACATCCTAAGGAAGTGCGGAATACAATGGACAGCTTGAATCCAACTAGACGATACGGAGTTCGCTTCTATTCCATACACATCAACAAATGCAGATGAAGACAACCAATGCAGTAGTAGCCTCTGTAGGCTTCAACATACACAAGGGAAAGAGCAAGATACTCAAATACAATATGGAGAACACCAACTCAATCACACTTGATGGAGAAGCTCTGGAAAAGGTGGAAACTCACATACCTAGGAAAAATCATCGACGAATAAGGAGGATCTGATGAAAACGTAAAGGTAAGGGCAGCACTTTTACATTTGGAAAACATAAAGAACTCAAAACCACTGTAAACCTACATCAAAGTCAAAATATTCAACACCAACGTCAAAACAGTTCTACTGTATGGAGCTGAAACTTGGAGAACTACTACAACTATCATCGAAAAAGTGCAAGTATCTATAAACAAATATCTACGTAAGATACTGAATGTCCATTGGTCGCATACCATCAACTACAACATACTGTGGGTAAAAACAAACCAATTTTTAGATGAAGCGAAAATTAAAAGACGTTAGGAGCGGATAGTTGTAGAAACGATATGGACCGTTTTTAAAGACAGGAACAACTGTCGATTCATCCAACGAACACTCTAACCGCCAGACGTTCATAAACAACGTCAGTTCCATAACCAGAAAGTCGTCACCATCTTCATAACGAGCCGGAAATAAGTCATCTGGGCCTGGTGGTTTGAGGCATTTTAAGAGCTGGGTGTCCTTGCTGCCTTCCGCCTCGTTAGGTGGATCAGTTATCACCCGCCATGAAGGACAGGAAAGTCTGAACGATGTCACCGGGAAAGTAGACCATTCAGACTGTTCTTCGAAAATTTATCCACCGTCCAAGATTACAGTAGATGTAAGTAATTGGGATCCCATTGGCTTCACAGACTGTTTCGCTAGCCTTGAAACTAGATCGGTTTGATATTCAGTTACAACGAAAGCTAAAACCAATTTGGTGACATCGACCCAATCATGGCAATGAATTTGCTGGTCACTGAAACCTGAGATAACACTAGAGCAAGCAAGGGGATGATCAGGGTTTAGGTTGTTGCAAGAGTCCTGTTCAAGTCCCTGGAAATCCAGAAACGCCAGAAACGTTTTATCCAATCAGCGTTGAATAGAATCTTTGTAGAATGACCGGAAATTTTTATATTTGTAGTGATTAAAGATTTCTAGCAACTCGAAAGTGTTTGTCATTGGAAAGTAATCTTAGTTGAACTCTAAAAGATAAATTTTTATGAACAGATGAGTATTCTGTGCTATAGCTCATGATTAGTGTACACTTGAGAATCCTTTTAGTTACGAGGTTAGGATAATTTGACTTCACCATAAAAGGATCAACGTTTCTTCCTCCGACATTATTTAAAATTCTAACAATGGTAAGTATACCCTTCAACAAGGATCAGATAAAATAGCTTGAACACTTGGACACTAATTACCGTATTTTTTTAATGTTCAGTTAAAAGAGTGTTTACAGTATTTATCACTTGAGCACCTAAAAATGAAACTCAATGATTAACAACGATTTACAAATTAATCTAGGGGTTTGTGGAGATTGTAGAATATAATAGTTTACATTACGGACTGCTTTCAGTTGAGTAACTACCACTGACAACTAAGAAGTCTCTCACACGGACAAAACAGCTATTCGGTGCTTCCATGTTTTCTATGGTTATCTAACTAATTCACGATTTCTTCATTATATTCTATCAACATCATACCAATATATGACAAAAAAACCACACGAAGTAGTTAAAAACCAAATAGTGATTCATTGGAGAATATCAGTCTCTAATGTAAAAAGATTTTCATTAATAGTTATTATATAACAGACTAAAGAAAATAAGTGGACAATAAATAAAACTGTTTTCCCCCGTCTTAATTTATAGATTTATTAGATAACCTGGTTAACGATTAAAGAGTAACTATTTGGCAAAGATACCACATTTTGTGTGGATTTTTAACCAATAAAGATTTATGTTTGATTAATTTATCAACTAAATAAATTATTCAATAAAAGTATTCAAATCACATGGCGCGATGAATCAGAATCTGAAATATACAGGTTATATATATAATGACGTATAATTAACGAAATGCAGTGTATTCTCTTAGTCATAAAAAAAAACGTTTATCTATATAATACTAAAATTTATTAAATCAGTTACATAGGTTCAGGGTGGCATAACTTTTCTGACCAAACAAAGCCTAAGAAGAATTACAAAAATAACACTTTGATTACTATGACTGGGTATAATGCACTGTACACTGTATTATAGTACCATAGTGAAGATTAGAAAACGAAAGCCATTTAATAAAATAGATCGAATATTTCTTGGAGAAGAAAGATTAAATTCTGTCTAGATTGGTTTCATTCAATAAAGAAGTTTTCTAAACTCTTTTAACTATATGTAATAGCAATTATTTGTTTTTCTTTCGTTTAAATTTTCATACTATTTGGTTAAAAATGAATACAACTGTGCACTAGTACGACAACTTATCATTGATTACTTTTAGACAATTTAACTAATGTCAGGCAGGCAGAAGAAAAACACACTTAATGATTTCTAGATTACATATAAAGTACAACTGAAAGTATTTAATATACAGTAATTTGACTAGATCCTTTATTTAGCTAACCAATAAATATTCAGACAGAAAATGAAATGGCAACTATTCAAGATGGGAACCTTTTGCAGTGGAGACAACCATGACTGTCAAACCATTTGACTAAAATAATTTCCCCTACAGAATTTCATATAAATCACTATAAAAGAAATATCATTAAAAGTAAAAGGACACTTTTTCCTACAAGTTGTACTTTTTTAACTACTGAATTAACCAAATTATTATTGTCAAACATGGATGATTTTTTTAATGTGACTTATTGATTTTTCGCTGTAAATTTACAGAATTTCCATGACAGATCTCCCCAGTAAATTATGATCGAATGATGGGAATAGATTTTTTGATATGGTCCTGTTAATGATTAGATGGTAAAGCGCTAGGAGTGAAGATTAGTAAACTTGAACCGATTGCACTACATATACATTAATTTCCTATATCTTACATAATTTTAAACAAAAGTAATAATCACTTACAATGCATCGATTTTGAAACATAGCTTTGAATACTGGTGAATAGATGGATAGAATAGCACGATGACAATGAAGATTTCTACCTTGAACAATTAGAACAGCATCACTGAATAGAAATGGACTGCTAAAGTCTAACACATCATGTTCTTCTTTCTGCGGTTCATTATCATCAACGTCACAACTAAAACAAAATGAAACAAATTACAATCAGTTATGTTTCTACCTATACATTCAACGTAAATTAAGCTTTAACCTTTGATAAAATATTATCTGGATGTTCTGAAGAAAAAACTGCACAAAACTTCGATTATACCTTGAATATTTTCGAAAAAAGATAACACACAGTTTAAACTTAATACATTCATGAGTTATATATTTTTATTACGAAGTAAAAAGCAATAAAATGTGTACTTGGTGTACAAAGGCAAATTGTAGACATGATTGGGATGTTTGTGGAGTTTGCAGTTTAATTTTTATCATGGATTCTGAACTAGGAAGCATTGGATAATGGTTTCGCTCAATAGAAGACGATATAAATTCTCACAAGTTATAAGAAAAATTATTTGAATTACAATACAGTTCGATAGAGGTCGCTGAACTTTTTGTTGTTACATGGCAAACTGACCTTATTTAGACAATCATTTAAAACAATACACTTTAACAGCTTCACAGAACAATGAAAAGTGACAAGTCCATGGACTGAAACAGTGTGCTCTCTTGTGAAATCTTTTAGAAAACTACTTCCTGAGTTCTGTCGTTCTATAACGACGCCCATCAACATGCTAACCTTATGTTTGCTAAACAATATTCCGAGATTATTGTGAACTAGTAAAAGCAGCCGTAAACATTCTCCGCTACGTTTTACGAACAACTCATCACGAAATTCAATAAAAATCAGGTTCGCAAGTCACTTAGTGTAATTCGGAAATAACTGAAAAAGTGAGGAAGTTTATAACTTGCCTGATAATAAAACTATGTCAATCGGAACAATCATCAATAAACCTAGTAAACTCAGTATGCAACCATGGACCAAGGTGAAGTTCCATATATTCGGTTTTACATTAAGTTGTGCCTTTCGCGTGACGGCTAGTGTGATACTATTGATCTAACTAAAATAATACAGGCTGAGTGTGTTAAACTTGCAGCCCGATAGTTGAAAGTCACATGGTTTAACCACTAAGCCAAGTACATTTCATCCTCAGGAATATGAAATACAGAATAGTTATCAATATAACATTCTCAATTTTTCAAACACAAAGCGCACAACGTAAGTTGTGCAAACTCAACACACTTTTCACAGAGTAAATATTTATTAAATACTCATATTTTTTTACGTATGAATAGCTCAACAATATCTTTAGTTGCACGTAATTTGCATCCATCAATGTTGAAGTTTAAATAATCTCATAGAAAGACAGATTTCTTATTGTATCAGATGACAAGTATCTCGAAGATCATATTCAATCAAATTTTAACTAATTTACTTTCATTTTACCAGTATAAATTAAAACACACAGCATGTTCAGAAACTATATACGTTATTTATCAGGTGTATAACACATATTACCGATACTGAGTTAATGACAGTTTCGATGCTTCATTAAACAACATAATAATTGTAATCTAATAGATCAAAAAAAGCTATTTGATTATTATTTCTGTTAAAAGCATCGATCGTTCTTCACATCAGCAAGTTTTTAGTGAATCAATATACATCCAATTATGTTTTAACTTAGTGACAACTGTGATATTCATAACAAAGGTAAAAATGAGGTCAGATTGGATAAAAAGAGAACTGCTTTATACATACTAATGTTTTTTAAACATTGCATGCTTATCTAGTGTATAAAATCATAACTTCAATTACTAGATAAACCAACAGTTCAAGTTGAGTATTTGGTAAATGAGCATATAAAAGACGCTTACAATATGAATGGATGATTATTTTAAGTTGTATACCGTTTTCATTTACAGCCAGTAACTTTTCTAAGAAAGTAAATAACTAGGATTGAAGTTATTGGCTAGGTTTATTCATTTGCCTGTAATAAGCACTAAGATGACCAGACTAAAGCTGAAGACCTTGAAGATAAAAACATTCGTTGTGCTAAGGTTTTACAAATTTCTGATGGATAAGGATATTACTGCCATCCATGAAGTAGAAAAAACTTACACTAGCAACCAGTGAGACGCATCCCTTATCAAATACGCTTATGCACTGACAAAGAAGGTCGGATATTTATTTATTATTTATTTATTTGAACACATATATATTGGCACAGGAGTGCGCCAAATATATATGTGCCACACAAAACAATGAGAATTTAAGAAGAAAAAGAAAAAAAAGTGGGGAACGTACAAAAAATAAAACAATAACGAAGAGATTGGTGTAAGGTAGTGTAATAATAATAGTAATAGTAGGGGAACAGAAGGGTACAATTAGAAGAAATCTTTTAGTTAAGGAAGATATAACCACGTTTTATGAAGAAAGTAAAAGAAGGTTACAGCACGATCGCCACTGGCTTCTATTCTGAGCCATATCTGATAACGCCTCTAGCCACTGTGTTGTACCATCTCTCGGACCCCAACCAGGGAGTCGTGAAGGACCGACAAAAGCCAGCCCTTTGCAGCTTTCTTTCATGCCACGACACCATGTCATGCAATGACCACCTCTCCGCTTCTTCCAACCAGTCCCAGAGTCGGCAAATAATGCACGACGTGGAATTCTCTGGGACGACATTCGGAGAACATGTCCAAGCCACCGAAGTCGGTGTTTAAATATGGTGACACCAATTGCATTATCGTCTCTGTGCCCGAACACACGATGCCGAACCTCTGCATTACTAACATGGCGTTGCCACTGGATGTCAGCAATCCTTCGGAGACAGCGATGATCGAACACAGAGCGTCGTCTAACGTCCTCAACTCGAAAAGGCCAGGTTTCACAAGCATAGAGCAAAACTGCACTCACCGACGCGTTGTAAATCGACCTTTTACGGCCAGACTAACAGTTCACTTTTTATGCTCTTTTAAGCCTTAAGATTCAATCTTCCTTTACACGTAACTTCTCATCCTCTCCTCCGGATTCATATTCTTAATATTTATTGTTTTTCAATAGTCAGTCAGTCAATCAGCTACAACGTAGGACCAGGCACATATGTGCATCGGTCCAAGCTGCCATACCTCATTAACACAACAAGATGGACACCGGATTCATAAAAGCAGTTAATTCACAGGTGGTAATATATAAAAGGGAGATTGCATATAAGGACATAGTACAAGGAAGAAAGGATTAGTTCGTAGAAAGAAAGATATGAAGTCATTTTGATCTCTTAGTTTAAGAGAAGACAGAGAGTGTATACGCCGACGCCATTGTGACCGATTCTGAGCCATGTCACCAAGAGTCTCCAACCATTGGTTACGATAGTCACGCGGACCCCAACCAGGTAATCTGCATCTCCCAACATGGCTCAGACTAGAAGTTAGTGACTTCGATGACTGATGCCACGTTTTGGTTTGGCCGCCCCTAACTTTCTTCCAACCATCTCCAGCACCGGTTAGCATTGCACGTTGTGGTAATCGGTGTTCGGGCATACGTAACACATGGCCCAACCATCTCAGTCGATGAAGATTCACAACCTCGTCAACTGATTTACCATCATTCCCTAATATCCTGCGTCTAACCTCACTATTACTTACCCGGTGATCACAGCAGACTCCAGCAATATTTCTAAGGCATCTGTGGTCAAATACTAGTAGCTTACTAGTGTCTTCTACTCTTAATGGCCATGTTTCGCCGCCGTAAATTAAACAGAACGGACTGCCGGGCAGTATACTCGTCTTTTTATTGGTAGACGGATATCTCGCCTTCGCCATAAGTGACGTAAGTTGGCAAAAGCCAAGCGAGCTTTACAAATCCGTGCTGAAATTTCGTCAGACACCAACCCATTAGGGCTGATCAGGGTTCCAAGGTAAGTGAAGTTGTCAACGCGTTCGACTACTTCACTCCCTATCTTTAGTTCAGGTGCTGACGCAGACCAGTCCTGAAGCAACAACTTGCATTTAGAGGGAGAGAAGCGCATTCTAAATTTAATCTCACTGTAAAGATTTGACGTGGTGACTCGGATGAAGCACATCTGTGTGACGCCGTAATTGTCATTACTGTACAGATTTCTAGATAAAATTCAGAAGCAATGCAGCCTATGTGTTGTACAATACTAAGTGGTAGAGATAGCTTAGAAAAGTTAACTAAGACTGTCATACAAACAGTATCTTCACGGATTAAAGTTGCAGCGGTAACATCTCTAACAGTACACATAACTCGGAAATAACTATGACACAAAGTTCGAAGCCAGGCTAAAATGACGAGACTTAGTATGTTTAGATATTTAGCTATTGCGGTTAGTAACAAACTGACAAAAAGTGCTCCACAGATCAACATAATATAATAAGACCAAACACTGACGATTGAGTGCACTAATTAGTCCACAGACTTGCAATACTTTGGTCAAATTATTAAATGTCTAGCTTTGTGTATTACCGGATGGGTAATTTTCCGAACTGCATATAAATTTTCACAAATCAAAATCTAAATATTTAACAACTTCTAGAAATTTCCATTTGAAACAGATTTAATTAAATCGCCACAAACAGGTAAACATTTTGGATATATATTCAAAATTCTTAATATTAATTAGAGCGAATCTAAAGTTTACTTTCAGTCTCAGAACAAAATTGAACTCAATATGCAACAGAAATGAACCATCTGACAGTTTGCGGAGCTTTAAACCAGAATCACGAGAAACTACAACTTACTCGGCTTGTATGGCGATTTCACTCACATTGGGAGCAGTGCAGCTCAATCTCTCGATTTGCGCTGCCCGAAAGACCGACATTCGTATATTAAGGAGAATTTTATTCTTGGCGGCTTACAAAAATCCGCCAGGACAGTACGGGCCAATAGAAAAACTGAAATTGAGGTCATTATAAAATTCTGTATATATTTTTTATTCAAACTATTTTAATATATAATCCAAAAATGTCCTTCTAAATGGTTTTTCTGTTTGTTTGAATATTTCATTTATGTTAGCTGAGTAACTAGGACAATTACAAATATCATCTAGTTAATATTGTAGGTATAATTTTTATCTGTTGATCAAATTTGATAAATTCTAAATTTCTTGAAATGGAAGTGGTTCCTCGATATGAATATGAGGTTATTATTCCACCGGAAGGTGGTTACGTTTCTCTTGAATCAAATGTATACAATCTGAATAATATTCATAAACCAATTACTGACGATCAGTATGATGTATTTTTCATTGATCCAACTACAAACAATACAATTAATTCACACGGGCGTTTTAGAGGTGAAAGTATCCATGAAACACCAGACACAACGAGAAAAACCGACCATACATCTCTACATCAACACGCAGATATTTGTAATATCACTTCTATCACACTGCCCGCTCCTTTTCAATACTTAGAGCCGACTCAACAATGCAGCACAAGCTTTCATCATCATTGTCTTCCTCTTCAATTAAAGTATTTCCATTCTCTAAGGAACTTTACAGTACTAAGCCGAATTGGTGTTGGACAATTTAGTAGTGTCTATCGTGCTGAGTGCAATCAACCTTTTGGTCTTAATGTAGCCCTTAAAGTTATCAAGGTATGTAAACTGCCCCGGGCGTTGATATTGCATAGTGGTTAATTACCACTCTTTTCAAGGAAATGTGCTTTTGGATAGTTGTTATCATTGTAGCACATAATTTTCTGTGTCATGCTTTGTATGCATTTTCTAAATGTGGTAACCTTCGTTAACTGGTTTGGTATATCTTTGACTAAGCTTGCGATTATGACTTCAACTTTGAGTTCATCGAAATATTTCTTATTTCTATCTCTGTTGTAATCTTATAAACAGGATTTGCTTACGCTATCATTTATCTTTGATAATCATACTTTTTTGAAATATTTTGAACTATAGGTGAAGTTTCTGTAAAACAAAGTTAGCTATATGCATAAAAGCTCTATATCTCGAATACGTAGTGCACCAACTCAAAGACATAGTGGAGTAAATCTTGATGGATTATCAGCATACTCTACTTTGTCCAACTACGAAGTGCAAGGGTCTATTGGACAAGGCCAGTTTTCAACCGTATGGCAAGCTTTTCACACTCCGTCTCGTCAGACAGTTGCTATGAAAAAAATTAAGGTTAATCCAGTTTTCTGTGACTGTCGTCCACATTTGTTGTCCACCAAACAGATGTTGTGTATGTCGATTTAGATTTGATTATTTGCATGCAAACCAAATACTGTATTACTTCGTATTTAAATGTCAAAAACTAGGCAATTATAATTTGGTTTATTCCTAACCCCAGTTATCATAGGTTTCGCATCTTTTACTGGCCTTGTTTTCCGTAAAACTCATAAGTGTTTGAGCGATTTGTATGGTCTGTCACATAAAACTCAACTTTAAAACAAAGAAATATCCATAAGAAGAGTGAAATTTATCAACTCCTATATGTAGAATAAAATAGGTGTTTATTCAGCTTTTCAGTGCATATACACATATATTTGTATTTGTGTTTGCTTATGACGCATATGTACTTGTATTAAGAGAATCAACGAGATTTCGTGAGGTTTTTATAGTTTAACCTGATGTAAAACAAATGTATTCCGTCCATGTATGCTTACAGAAAAACTCACTACGTTCATCTTTGTGCTAGTTTGTTAATCCTCTATCGATCTTTAGTTTCAAACTTTTAGAGGGCGGTATTGTGCTCATCACTCAAAACGTTCGTTCGGTTGTAAATCTTACATTTAACTAACAAATATTGGATGTTAAGTTCCCTTTATTAAGTCACTTATGAAACTAACTATATAAACAGTATGATTATGTTGCCACATCATTTCAAATTTGAGGACAGCCAATAGCTACTGTAAGGTGAATAAATCTGGTATCACTTTCACGATCGAAATTTGAACTTTATGTACTCTATTGTTTTGCCAGAATGTTGAGTGTCTCACATATGACGGAATTCACGAGCCAGTTCCAAAAATACCATAGTAGCTACAAGTGAACCAGAGCTTGAAGACGGGAAAAAATCATAAACGCACTTAAATATATTGTATTAGGGTTATGAATGAAGCAACAGTTGTGAAAAGTATCGTTGTTTCATACACCACATTGATTTCAACAATTAAACGAATGCACAGGATATTTGCGGGATAGAGGATTGTGGCTAGAACTGAGAGAAAGAAATCCCAACATCCCAAATTGGGTTGAAACAGCTTGATGAACTTGTAAAACATTTAATCGCTGGTATCATTCAAATATAACTTTTACGCTCAATGTATCCGATATCCTCGATGCTCAACCTCCGTCAAAATATATATTTACGGTCTGACGAATATGGTGACCTTCAGAATACTAAGGATTACTTAGTGAACGCTGTGTATATAAAGATTAAAATCGGATCCAGTAATTAAGTTGAATGTTTTCTATTTTTCACAAATTTTGGAGACTTCACTACTATATATACCTCTGCTCCTTGCTTGTTAACTGTGAAAGATGAGTTACATTCATGGCATTTATTTGGTCGATGGTAAAAAATTTTCTCGTCATGTTACTGCGCTTAGAAACTTAGATCGATACATTTAAGTGTCAGTTTCAATGTTGTAATAGGACTAAATGAAAACACAAATTCAAAATTTATCATGTTCAGCGAACCTAAAGTAAATACATTTATGCTTTATTTCGGTACTGGGATAAGAATTTTTAGAAGCTTGAAACCCTACTATACAATGTTAACATCCTTATATAACGACGGCTTACAAGCGTTTCCTGTAAATTCGACATCCATTTAATGGTAACTGAGCATATATATGATGCTGCTGTGTAAAAATGTTAATCTCTCAATAAAGCATTACACATGGCTGAAAGTTTATCTCCTCTTTAACGCAGATGAATAGCTATTTGGTCTTCTTCATAAACTTGACAATGCTGAAAGAAATGACAAACAAGTTACTCCTTCACTTTTTCTATAAACACTGAATAATATTTGCTTTTTCAGAAAGAGTGGGAACAGGAAATTGGGCAGAACAGCATAAATTCATTGTATTTCGTTAGATTTTCATCGGCTGCTTTCATTCTATCATACTGTTGAATCAGAATTATCACAAAGTTGACATACTTATAACAAGGAAATTAGATAAATGTGGACATCTATCATCATGATGAATTGGCGATCCAGAGAAATGTGATGAGACTGAAGAAGCATAAAGAGTGTTGTAAATAAATATAATATGTGAGAGATTCTGGAATATCAGCTACAGTAACAAGAGATCGAGTTGAACTAAACATAGGTTTGTTGTCTACTGTGATTTACCTAAGCCTATTTCCTCTAGTTTTCATATATTTCTTGATAAGTTTCTGCAAATATTCGTTGTTCGTCGGACATTCCTTTGTCGTTCGTCAGGTCTGTTTCTAGTGTATCAGTGGTACATCTTTGTTCTGCTCCATTGAATAACATTTTAATAAGTGGCTTTTGGTAACTAATATGAAAAAGTATTAAATCGCAAATAAACCCCATTCCATGTATTTTTTTCGATAATCTGCCCGTCCAATTGTTCCATTCACTCTGTATTGTATAGCGAAATCGAGAAAATGGTACTTATCAACCTATTCATGTTCCATTATAAACCGGATATTTTTATGAGAATCGTTGGATAAGTTTAGAATGTGTTTTGCTTGTTATTGATCATTACATACAATGAAAGTGTCATTGACATACTGCACATTATACGCCATATCATCAATCGGTGAACATGAATGCATATATTAGAACAGGACCAAGTGGACTTGCGATTATTACACTGTAAACTTGACGGCATATGTTGTTGTCGATTCGAAAGTGAACCTCTTACATGCACATAATAAACATTTATTTGAGTTCGGACACTAATAAAGGTAGAAGTTTAGGTTGCTAGCAAATTATGACGGTGGTTTCAGAAAGTAGTATTTCGGTAAGCAAGAATGTTACATTAAGAAAAACTATTGACTTACCAGCATTGTTTATATACTTAACACAGTCAATAAACTAAAGATGGGTTTTCAGTATATAAGTAATTAACTGTTTAATCCCGACTTAGGTTGCTCCTAATTAATGTCAATTTGTGCTCATTTACTTCATTATGAGGTCACTTGATGTTTTTAGCTGTGTGATCTCTTGTTACTGTAGCTGATATTCCAGAATCTCTCACATATTATATTTATTTACAACACTCTTTATGCTTCTTCAGTCTCATCACATTTCTCTGGATCGCCAATTCATCATGATGATAGATGTCCACATTTATCTAATTTCCTTGTTATAAGTATGTCAACTTTGTGATAATTCTGATTCAACAGTATGATAGAATGAAAGCAGCCGATGAAAATCTAACGAAATACAATGAATTTATGCTGTTCTGCCCAATTTTCTGTTCTTGCTCTTTTCAAACTAGTCAAGGGATTAAGTGTATGATTTTAGTTTTCCCCTGAATTCAAACACAGGTTTTATTCTTGTACTTTCGAAGATTTTAATAAGCTCCTTCTGTTCCTGGTTTTTTTGGTAAAACAAACACGCATAAATTTAAACCAAGAATTTTCGTTAATTAACTTATTTTGTTTAAACGGCGTATGTTTTAGTAGATTAAACAGGGAATCGATAGCGAAACTACCTTCATCTATATAGTTGTGAGGTCTTATATATGATTACCGAAATTTCGGAGATAAACCTTGATTGTATGTCCAATATCTGACTGCGTATTGTCGATGTTACACTAATAATTTAGTTTGCTTTTATCAGTATGAAATCATTATCTAGATAAAGGCAGTGTTACTTGTGTTTACGTTTTGAAAGTTTTTGTTCTGAAAATATGATATAGCCTCAATACCTAATGGCTGCACTATGGATTA